AGTTATTCATCCTGAAACACATTTTTTATTTTATTTTAGGCAAAATCTTCATTTTTTTACTGACTTCAGAGGCCCATTACTCTGTCTCTGTATCACCTAGAGTGTTTCTGACACTTTCACAAGAAACTTCAGGGAGTTTTCTTTCTGGCAAGGCCTCATGCATGCATGTAGTCAGAGCGGTTCAGAAGCTACAGTCATTTTAATTTGGGTATGTCATTTTAGGCGTTTTTGCTACAAAATGGGGGTGGAGTGCAAACCGCTGGGTAACGTTAGCCGTGTGATGCTAACAGTTAGCCCTGTCACTGTGTGTGTGTGTGTGTGTGTGTGTGTGTGTGTGTGTGTGTGTGTGTGTGTGACTTCAGGCTCCTGCAGCAGCCTCATGATGAACAGAAAGCGAATCAATACACGCAGCTCTACAATGAAATGAGATTTTACCCGTTTAATTGTCAAATTTGTGGTAAAGTTGCTGTGATTGGATTGACTGACTTTGTGTTCATTGTTGAGATCATAACATCCTGAAGGGACTGTTCAATTTCATATTTACACACTGAGACCAAAGTTTTTCTTCTGTTTTTAATTCCCTAAACGGTGGAAGTCACTGCCTCTGGTTATATAGTGATGAGCTCTCTTGGTACATTTAAAAGTAAATTAAAGACTTATCTTTTTAATCTAGCATTTTAATGCGTAGGAGCATTACAGTTCTGATTGTTTGGTTTTAACCACTGGTTTTGACTTTATTTTATCCCTCCGGTTTATTTTTATTCTATTTTATTTATTAACTTTTTTTTTTAATTCTGGGAACTTTTTATCATATTTTTTGTTAGTTGGTTCTGTTTTGTTTGGTTTGATCTTTTAATATTTTATTGTCTTATAATGTTCTAGTCTTACAAAACTTCATAAATAGTTGTTTGTGTTCTCATATAAATTGTGTCTGTGTCCTTCCAGTGTCGCCATGTGAAGCACTCTGGGCTGAGTGTTTGTCTGAATAATGTTGAGTTGTTTCAGACTCTGCAGAGACATCAGAGCTGCTGACATCACTCTGTTCTCCTCCGGATGATGATCATGAACACTGACTGAAAGTTCCTCACAAAACCAAAAACAAATGGTTCAATTTTCACAGAGTCAAAACTGCAGCTGATGACGACACAACTACAGTTCACCAACTGCATTTATCTTATTTCTTTAAATAACATCAGAGGATCTCCTGCTCACTAAATACTCTCTTATCTTTCCTGGCTGAAATTTTACTTCTTCAATTTCATGTTTCAGATTTTAAATAATAGTTTTTGATGATATTCGGGCCGTCGTGTCGGAGCGATTCTGTCTGAAACAGACTGAAGGAGAGTCGTTGTGATTCAGGTCGACACTGAAACTCTGGAACAAACTGAGTTTATTATATAACAACAGGAAGACAGGTGTGAGTTTACAGGTGTGTACACACACACACACACACACACACACACACACACACAGTGCAGTGACATAACTACAGCAACATAATAGCTGTTATCTGAAACACAACCTGGACTCTGCTGAAAGAACTTGTCTTAGAGGCAGACACAGAAACCTTCATCTTTCACTGTGACCCACATTGACACATACCTTCCCACCACACACACACACACACACACACACACACACACACACACACACACAGTGAGCAGCAGTCTGTTAGAGTCAGAGAGCCCTCTGCTGTCAGAGCAGAGTCACAGCAGCAGTGTGTTCACACAGTTGGACAGAAACACTGCAGACTGTTGCACCTGTACAACACTGTGTCACTGTGTTTATTAAGGAGGACAGTGTCACAGACGTCCCATTTAAAAGGTTATAATCTGCAAACCAACTCACACACACACACACACACACACAAAACATAACACACAACCCTTTAAACAACGACCACCTCAGCAGCTGCAGACCTCACAATAAACTCCTAAAATAAAATAAAAACTCACTGTGGACTAAGAGGCAGAAACCACTGAGCGACGACACACTGACCGCCACCGATGGACAGGTGAGGCCATAGTTCGTTACCACTGATGGTTTGGACCCACAGGAAGTCGTCTCAGTGGGTCCCTGATAAAATGTGTGTTTAACTGGTGTCTGCTGGGACATGGTCCTGATTATGTCTCTATTCTTGTGTGTTGAAAATAAATGTATGTAAAGATTTTGCATCGTCACAATAACAGAGAATAAACAGAAACATTAATAATAAAGGTGCAAACGACACAAACACAGATGTATTTAGTTTTTATAACAGAGTTCTTTCTCATTCTCTATTTTAAAATCCCATACTTTCTTCAAATTTCTAGACTGATCAGATCAGATCAGATCAGATGATTCAGACCACAGGTGAGATCTGAGCGCAGACCAGCAGCCCACTGTTCAGACCTAAACAAAGTACCAACAGGTGCCACAGACACTCATATTATTGCTCCACACATATTTTTTAGTCTTATTAGAACCAAAAATAGTTAAAAATGTTAAATAATTTCATGTAAAGGTGTCTGAACAGCCTTGTTTATCCACTGTGTCCATGGAAACGACGATGACTGCAGTTATAAAGGTTTCCTTTCACAGAACAGATGAGGTTACTTTTATGATAACAACCAGGGCTGGGGAAATCAATTCAGCAGAGTATCGCAATAACGTATCGTCACACAGTGCCAAGTATTGATTTTTTAATTATATAAATTATTAATATCATAAATACAAATTAAACTTTAGGTAGCCACTAGAATAAAATAACCAGCTGCTTTTTCAGTCACTAGAAACTATTTGTTGCTGGAAAAAAAAAAGAAGTGAGATGAACAGAAACTAAAAAACACACATTGACATATTTTTCCTTTGGGGACAAAATGTACAGTTGACAAAATGTAATAAATCGCAATGTATTTTATCACAATGAATAAATGAGTTACAGTATTAATTTATTCATCTTCATCCTGTGATTCTGACATTTTATGTTTTCTTTTCACTGATTGCGACAATGAACAAAACAGGAAACAACTAAACTGATCTTGTGAGAGATATATGACGTACGATAGTAAGTGGCATCAGCTGGTGACGATGGTGTTTCAACATGTTGTGTTATGTGGACATTAAAACATCATCAGGTCATCGACATGAGTCACTACAGTATCGATCAGCAGCACAGTAACATTATCACACTGGAGCACTATCAGGGGTAAAAACACGACACGTCTCCTGGACGGTAAAACGCCATCACTGACATGAGAGAATACTCATCAGCTGTCACAGCAGACGTTGTGATGTAAGATAACAGGAACGTCTGTAGTCATATCCTAAATATTTGTGAATTCAGGTGTGTTTAATGAACCTTAAAATACAAGGTTATTGTCGACTGGCGGTCCCCAGGGACCTCTGTGCTGCCCCGCCATCTTTACCAGGAAACGCCAGCGCACTAGGCTTTAGAGAGCCGGGGACGAGAACAAGTGGGAGGGTGGACGGGCGTCAGATTGACACCGACACATCACAGACAGTCTGATAATAACTTTCAGAACACAAGTTTCATTGTCAGCAGTTTCTGTGACATCATCAGAAATACTTTCAAAACTAATAAAGTCACCTGACGCCACTATTTACTGCAGTTCAAACTGTCTTTTGCGATACCTCTGTCATATGTTGACACTGCGGTGAAGCTACATGCTCGATATCTGTGAGACAGATTTAAACACTCAGATGTTGTGTCACATCACTCTGTAGCAGCGCTGCACAGTTACAAGTGTTTGTGTAACTCCAACAGAGTCAGGTGTCTTCTGAGTTAAAACCATCAGCTGATCTCAGCTCAGATTCAGAACACATCAACATTAAATGATTCTGGTTCTGAATCAGCAGCTTCAGTTTTGAAAAACGAGGCTGCTGTTATTTTAATGAGTCAGATACATGTTGAATAGATCATGTATGATCCCAAGTTTATTAATGAACCGGTTCTGTCTGCACAACTTCAGCTGGACCTGTTGATCTGAACTTATATATAAATGAAAACATGAACATATAAACAGGTTTGATTTAATTCAGACTGAATAATCAGATCAGATGAGCTTTTATTTTCAACCAGACCACAGTCAGTGATTGTTGGAAGTGATTGTTGATTTGTTTCTGTTAAGTTTAAATGAAGTGTTGTTTGTTTGTTTGTTTGTTTGTTTGTTTGATGATGAGCCACGAGGCACTTCAACAGGTCACAGTTTGTGGCTGAGAGAAACTTGAACTCAGAAGGTGTACAGTTGTATTTCTCTTTTTAATAAGAACAACAGGTGTAAGAATATCATGTTTCTCTACATGTTGTGAGCTCCTCTTGTGTATTCATTAGTCTGAAAAAGCAAAGACAGTTTGCAGAAGGCAACAAACTCAACACACCACACACTCACACCATCATGGAGCCTAAACCCCGTGAAATTTCAGGAAGGTTTAATAAATAAGATCCCAGCTGAACCTTGTATGAAGGCCACTTACTGTCAGCTTTATTCATTTATTTTATGTTTTGCCAGTTTATCAGCTCCTCTCTTCACATGCTGCAGCACAACACTGTCTTATTTTGTCCATATTTCTATGAACATTAATTTCCCCCATTTCATTGTTTGTCTTGTGTTTGAAACAGAGCCTGACACTGGAGTGTAACAGTGTCCTGTAGTTTTACTCACATTAAGATTCTCTGTTGTTTTGGTTATTGCTCTACATGCTTATAAATATAATAATCAATAATAACTTTGTAATCTTATGTCGTGTTTTTAGAGGAACATCTGTCCAGATGAGAAATGCATTTACAGCCTGTTGATTAATGTGCACTGTCTGAATGAACACATGAAGTGATGCAGTGATTGATCCTTCATCAAATTTCTTACTAATAAATACCGTTAAACACAAACACAACACTGTTCACACCTGTCGTAACACTGACACACACCTGAGTGTATAATGAGGTGTGTGTGTGTGTGTGTGTGTGTGTGTGTGTGTGTGTGTGTGAGAGAGAGACTCACCCACGGCTCTGAACAGACACGCTCCGTCTTCCTTCATCTTCTTGATAACGAAGCCTTTCTTTTCCCGCAGAGCTTTTTCAAACCAGTGCTCCTGCTGAACACACACACACACACACACACACACTGAGTCAGCCAATCACATCAAAACACATGACAACAGCTACAGACTACGACTACATCTACATTAGCTGTCAACATTAACTCCACAGGGAGCAGGTCCTCGTCTACAGAGATCACCATGTTGCCCCGCCATGTTTCTACAGAAGCCCAGAACGGACAAACCAAACACTGACTCTAGATAGAGACATTCATGTGTTCACATTAGCAGCCCCTCCATTGTGAAAACACTGATTTATAACATGAACCTGTTCCTTCAGAGTGTTTCCTGGTGTGAATCAGCTGGTGTGTGTGTTTCTGAGAGGAAGAGATAATTCAGCTCCTCAACAATCAACACTGAAGGAATTCTGACCAGGAGAACTTTCAGATGGTTGTAATCTGTAATCTGTAATCTGTAATCCTGGGACTTTATTTAAATATCTGGAGGACACATCAGAAACGTGTTTTCATGACTTGCCCAACGTTAAAGGGCCTGAGGACACACAGCAGCAGTTAGTTTGACAAACACTGTCTCTGAGGACGTGTCCATGATCCTCACTGACCTTTGACCTTCGACCACAACATTCTGATCAGTGTATTCTTCAGTCCAGGTGGATGTTTGTGTCGAGCTTAAAGAAATTCCCTGGAGGCGTTCTTGAGATATCACGTTCATGAGAATGAGATGGATGCAAAGTCACAGCAACCTTGACCTTTGACCCTTGACCACCAAACTCTAATCACACACCACACATGGTTGACAAGATGTTAAAACATTTTTTAAATGCTGGGTGTAGGCTAGAAAATGAAATCCAAAAATTTCAACTGCATTATCTGCCCAACTGATCACAATATGCTCCTTTAAATGTGATCTTATTTGCATATCGCCCGGCCCTCCCTGACACTGACACTCTAATTATGATCATCTCCAGGATCCATGTGAGAGGAACCAGTTCACAGCATCAGAGCAGGCTGCAGGTTTCTGATTGTTTGTGTCTTTTCAGTCCCACCCGAGTGACCTCAGCTACAACATTACAGCTCATCCTCTGTAGCCCCTTTTACACTTCCTGTTCAAGGTGGGAAAATCACGCCGTTACTCTGCCTCACTGTGGTGTGTATAAGGTATGATCACACAATGGGGAGACAGAGTTTGTTTTTTATTTTTTGGGCCATTTTGCCTTTAATGGACAGGACAGGTAAGCGTGAAAGGGGGAGAGACTGAGGGGATGACATGCAGCAAAGGGCCACAGGCTGGACTCGAACCTGGGCCGCTGCGGCAACAGCCTTGTACATGGGGCGCCTGCTCTACCACTAAGCCACCGACGCCCTGAATGGGGGGACAGAGTTGTCTTGACTTTAAGCTGGAAGCGGAGGTAGTAACGGCACCGAAACGATTAACTCTCCACTGCAGGAGATTTAAAAAGCAGCTGTTAGCAGTTAGCAGCTAACTCAAAGATGAAAAGCAGCTGTTAGCAGCTAAGTCAAAGTAGAAGGACAGCAGCTGTTGGCAGTTAGCAGCTAACTCAAAGTAGAAGAACAGCAGCTTTTAGCAGCTAACTCAAAGAAGAACAGCAGCAGCTGTTGGCAGTTAGCAGCTAACTCAAAGAAGAACAGCAGCTGTTAGCAGTTAGCCCCCCCACACACACACACACACACACATGGGTGTGGATGAGGAGCCCACTTTGGAAAATGTCGTCCCCCTGCCGGTATGTCCTCACAGTCGGCCTGTCTCCGTGTAAGAAGAGCTTCTGTTTCACCTCTCAGACTTTTACTTTCATTTCAGTCAAACAGAAGATCATTATGTCCGGGCATCTCCAGGCTCTGGACGTCTGCGATGACATCATGCACCGAACCTTTCATTTTCCTGACTCGACTGAGACGTCTGAAGGACGGAGACCTGACACCTGATCAGGTGTTTAAATGTGTCTCAGTTTCTATCAGGCCAACAGGTTCAGGATGACCCAGGTTTCTGTCACATTTACACGTCCAGTCACAAAACTAAGACTCCAGAAACCCGTCAGAGCCAGAACACAAGTGTGACAACAGTTATTTTCAATTTTTATTTTTTAACTAATTAGTCTTTAAATGTCTCTAGCCCCTTTTACACTGCCAGAGTTCCCGCGAATGTCGGGCTGTTTTGACGCCAAGCTGCAAGCGTTTAGACACACAGAGCCGGATTGGCGAGTTGATCCAAGGTGCCCAATTTTCCGCCTCGTAGGACACCTGGTCACTGTCTCTGTGAGGACACCTGGTCACTGTATCTGTGAGGACACCTGGTCACTGTATCTGTGAGGACACCTGGTCACTGTCTCTGTGAGGACACCTTGGTCACTGTCTCTGTGAGGACACCTGGTCACTGTCTCTGTGAGGACACCTTGGTCACTGTCTCTGTGAGGACACCTTGGTCACTGTCTCTGTGAGGACACCTGGTCACTGTCTCTGTGAGGACACCTTGGTCACTGTCTCTGTGAGGACACCTGGTCACTGTCTCTGTGAGGACACCTTGGTCACTGTCTCTGTGAGGACACCTGGTCACTGTCTCTGTGAGGACACCTTGGTCACTGTCTCTGTGAGGACACCTGGTCACTGTCTCTGTGAGGACACCTTGGTCACTGTCTCTGTGAGGACACCTGGTCACTGTCTCTGTGAGGACACCTTGGTCACTGTCTCTGTGAGGACACCTGGTCACTGTCTCTGTGAGGACACCTTGGTCACTGTCTCTGTGAGGACACCTGGTCACTGTCTCTGTGAGGACACCTTGGTCACTGTCTCTGTGAGGACCCCTGGTCACTGTCTCTGTGAGGACACCTTGGTCACTGTCTCTGTGAGGACACCTGGTCACTGTCTCTGTGAGGACACCTTGGTCACTGTCTCTGTGAGGACACCTGGTCACTGTCTCTGTGAGGACACCTTGGTCACTGTCTCTGTGAGGACACCTGGTCACTGTCTCTGTGAGGACACCTTGGTCACTGTCTCTGTGAGGACACCTGGTCACTGTCTCTGTGAGGACACCTTGGTCACTGTCTCTGTGAGGACACCTGGTCACTGTCTCTGTGAGGACACCTTGGTCACTGTCTCTGTGAGGACACCTGGTCACTGTCTCTGTGAGGACACCTTGGTCACTGTCTCTGTGAGGACACCTGGTCACTGTCTCTGTGAGGACACCTTGGTCACTGTCTCTGTGAGGACACCTGGTCACTGTCTCTGTGAGGACACCTTGGTCACTGTCTCTGTGAGGACACCTGGTCACTGTCTCTGTGAGGACACCTTGGTCACTGTCTCTGTGAGGACACCTGGTCACTGTCTCTGTGAGGACACCTTGGTCACTGTCTCTGTGAGGACACCTGGTCACTGTCTCTGTGAGGACACCTTGGTCACTGTCTCTATGAGGACACCTTGGTCACTGTCTCTGTGAGGACCCCTGGTCACTGTCTCTGTGAGGACACCTTGGTCACTGTCTCTGTGAGGACACCTGGTCACTGTCTCTGTGAGGACACCTTGGTCACTGTCTCTGTGAGGACACCTGGTCACTGTCTCTGTGAGGACACCTTGGTCACTGTCTCTATGAGGACACCTGGTCACTGTCTCTGTGAGGACACCTTGGTCACTGTCTCTATGAGGACACCTGGTCACTGTCTCTGTGAGGACACCTTGGTCACTGTCTCTATGAGGACACCTTGGTCATTGTCTCTATGAGGACACCTGGTCACTGTCTCTATGAGGACACCTTGGTCACTGTCTCTATGAGGACACCTGGTCACTGTCTCTGTGAGGACACCTTGGTCACTGTCTCTGTGAGGACACCTTGGTCACTGTCTCTGTGAGGACACCTTGGTCACTGTCTCTGTGAGGACACCTTGGTCACTGTCTCTGTGAGGACACCTTGGTCACTGTCTCTGTGAGGACACCTTGGTCACTGTCTCTGTGAGGACACCTTGGTCACTGTCTCTGTGAGGACACCTTGGTCACTGTCTCTGTGAGGACACCTTGGTCACTGTCTCTGTGAGGACACCTTGGTCACTGTCTCTGTGAGGACACCTTGGTCACTGTCTCTGTGAGGACACCTTGGTCACTGTCTCTGTGAGGACACCTTGGTCACTGTCTCTGTGAGGACACCTTGGTCACTGTCTCTGTGAGGACACCTTGGTCACTGTCTCTGTGAGGACACCTTGGTCGCTGTCTCTATGAAGACACCTGGTCACTGTCTCCGTGAGGACACCTGGACAGTACCGTCTTTTCTATCATGTCCACCGAGCACAGGAACAAACAATCATCCTTCATGATTTAAAATGTGTTTGATGTCACTGTTTCACCTGTCAGGTAAGTGAAGCATCTGTTGCCATGGTTACCGGTTTAATGAGAGGTGGTTCAACCTTTGACCTGAACCAGTTCGACACATGAATCATTCTAACACACCTTCAGAAAACAGCATTTTAAATGTACACAGAGATGTTAGCTTCTTGTCCCGTTAAACCTGAATAAGTAACGTCAGTTATTTATTTACGACACATTTTGAGTATAACTCGCTTGTTTCAGTTTTTAAACGCCGCCATGACACCCAGCGTGATGTCTGAGAGTTCTGGATGCTAACAGTTATCACCTGTTACATTTATAAACGTTAATAGGAGCTAAAAGCTAACGCATCACAACACAGCCGTTTACAGTTGGTCCCAGCTGTGTAGCATTAGCATTAGCTTTAGCTGTGTTAGCTAACGTTAGCTTCCTACCTGCTCCACGGTAGCCGGGTCCATGGACTGCAGCCTGGCGGCGTTCTCGTACTCGTCCTCGCTATTGTTTCCAGCTCCTTCTTCCGTGTCCTGACTGGACCCCACTCCTCCCGGTCCGGTCACACCGGGCTGGCCTCCGCCGGCAAGAGCCGCCACCACCCCTCCGGAGCAGGTGCCTGCCTGCCGCCGCCTCTTGCTCAGTCCGGGCCCGGAGCAGCAGCTGCCGATGCCTCCGCCGCAGCCGACGACGCCCGCCGAGACGACGAGCTCCCCGCGGGACCCGGCCACCATCCCGCCGCTGCTGTCCCGACCGTCGCCCGGCCCTACCGGGGACACGGAGCCGACGGGTGGCGGAGAGGCCTGCTGCGGCCGGGAGCTCGCCTCGATGCTCCGCCTGTCGTCCCTAGCGGAGGGCGGAGCGGGCTGGTAGGACCACGGCGGAGGGGAAGCCCTCGGTCGAGCTCCGGTTCTCCCTGCGTGCGGGTGCGGGTGTGGGTGCTGGTGCGGGTCGGAGCCGCTCCGACGGTCGCTGTCATCGGCGTGGTCCGAGACGCCGACCCCGGAGCTGGGCTTCTTCTTCGGGAGAATCGTCATGGTGGTGTCTGTGTTGTGAGGGAGGCAGGGAGGGGGTCAGAGGGTGACGAGTCCTCCCTTTCTGGATCAAATGCTTCGGTGTGTTCGCCCTCCGGCCCGGCCGCTCGGCTCCAAACACCGACCTAAGGCTCTTAACGAACCGAAACGGCGAACAGAACCAACGACTCGGCCTCTTTTCGACGGTTTAGTTGAACAAAAACAAAACGCGTCTCCCTCTTCCCGATCTCTCTCCGTCCAGTCCACAAAACATCAACACAATCTGACGGTGCCAGTGACGTCACTTCCCGGTTGAGACGGCATTTTTTACGTCAGGCCGTTTGGTGGATCTTTATTTTCATTTATTTCACCGTCTCTGAAAGTTTAATACAGAAAAGATAACAAATAAGACGTGATGATAAAAAAATTCCTTTGGTAAATCATGATTATGAGACTATGAAATAAAAAGTCATAATTGTCACAAAGGAGGTCACAATCTTGAAATGGTGGCATAAAAAGTTATGACGGAGCCTAACATATGAGATGAAACAGTCATAATTAAAATATGAGATAAGACAAAATTAATAAACTTGACATTATGAAATAATATGTGAGACAAAATTGCGAAATAAAATTCTAAATTATGAGATTAAAAAGTCGAATTCATCACGAGATATAGGATGAAAAGTAATAAGTCATAATCATGAGATAAGTCAAAATTATGATTTAGGTCAGAAATAAAAGATAAAATATCAATAAAAAGGCGAAATTCTAAGATTGAAAAGGCATTATTTAAAAATATGAGATAAAAAGGCGAAATTAATAAAGTCGAAATTATGAGATCAAATTATGAGATAAAGTTGAGATTAAAAAGTCAAAATTATGAAACAAAAAGTCAAAATGATGAGATAAAATGTCGTCTTTATAATCTAATAATACTAGAGACAAGCAAAATGATGAACTAAAAAGACAATTGTGAAATAAAACCTAGAAATTATGAGGTGGAAACTCATAGTTATGAGATTAAAGGTCATTCTTATGAGATAATAGTCTAAATTAAGAAAGTTGAAGTGATCAATATCACTGAATAAAGTTGGAGCGACTTTTTCAGTCATTTTATAAACTGGTGGAATAAATACTTCCTCAGAACATTTCTTCACTGAGCTGATAAAATGCAGCAGAAAGAAAAAACTCAGAGCTTCTTACTAAAATGAATTTATGAAAGTTAAAATGTCCAGTTTGTCTTGACTGAATTTTCATATCTTTGTTTGTCATCATGCCCAGTTACAGTCACTGAGATGTTGTGTTCAGGCTCCCTCCAACAAAAGCTCTAAAGGTGTATCTGACATCAGTGTAATAAACATATTAATAAAACAACAGCTGACATACGTTGATCTTTTTCCAGAGGAAATAAACTCTCTGTGGGACTGTTCATCATTTTCATGTGATGACACGTGTGCAGGTGACAGGTAGGACAGGTGTGACAGCGCTGTAGTTTGAGCTGCTGTTAAACTGTGTTGGTGAAAAGTGGTTTTAATTTTCCATCCTCAGCATCACTGATCAGAGTGGTCAGAATATTAGAAACACAGCTCAGAGCTCAGACCCTGCCGGGGGACTGACAGTCACAGGATTATGACCCTGAGGGAGCGCTGGCTCCTGTTGGGGGTGAAAGGTGAGCTGTGTTTCTGATGAGCTGATTGGACAGCTGGCTCTGATGTAAACTGCAGGTGGAGGTGGGTGGAGCCAGTCACTCACTGTGATGACAGACAGCAGCAGAGAAGAGAACAGGTTTGAAAGCCCCTGATAACTTCAGTGGATAAGGGACTGTTTGTCATTCATGAGGCGGGAGAGGGTTAGTGATTTTTGAATGATTTTTTTAGTGATTTTTAAGGAAAACATATTTTGTTATGTTTTGGTTTTGCTGACATTTTTTTTTCTTGAAATTTTTTTGGTGATTTTATATATACATATATA